GAAGAACACGGGTGAGGACAGCCAAATTGTATTTAGGGCAAATTACAGAATTACTTGGTAAAATAGGAAAACCATATAGTAAATCGTTAATTTGCAAAATGTCATTCTATCATATCCATTGTCTCGCATTTCATTGTTCATGCGATTTCTTACAAAGTCCACTGTTTTCTCGCTCTTCTTTTCTTGATCTTCTCCATCTTCTGCTGCCAGACATTACGTTCTTTTGACTCACGTTATATACTACTTATATCAATATAAGTAGCACGCACCACAATAGTACTCGTAGCAGGTGATTTTAATGCTCAGATAGGTAGCTTAAACCAAACAGAAAGGCATTTAGGTGGATATTTTAGTATTCCGACACAGCGAACAGATAATGGTGATCGTCTGCTGCAACTGTGCTCAGACAATCGTTTATTTTTAGCAAACACAAATTTTAAGCATAAGAAGAGACATCGTCTAACATGGCGACCCCCTACACTAAACCAACGATGGACTCAAATAGACCATATTGCCATCAGTCATCGTTGGAGAGGGTCGGTAGAAGATTATCGCTCACTCTGAAGTACCTGCTTGGACTCCGACCACGCCCTAATACGGGCACGCATCTGCTTGCGCCTCACTGGACGCAAAAAAGCCACAGTAAAAAGACCCATTAGAACCGAACTGAGTAGCGAGGAAACCAAAAGTAGGTTCCAGGAACAACTGAGGTCACGATTAGGTAGTTCTGAAGACGAGGCTGACCCAGATGTTGCTTGGAAAGACATACAAGCAGCTGTGGAAACAGCAGTGACATCTATTAGCGACTTAAACCACAGAGTTTCAAAGAACCAGTGGATTTCTTCAAAGTCTATCACACTGATGGATTCTCGCAAACTCGTCCCATTAGGTTCCGAACATGATGAAGAGCGACAACAAATCAGATCTAGGTTAAGAAAACGTCTAAGGAACGACCGTGAGCAGTGGTGGGCAACAAAAGCAAAAGAGATGGAAAAGGCGGCGACTATAGGGAACACAAGACAGCTTTACAGACTAACAAAAGAAACTGGAATTAATAAGTCAACTGTAAGTGAGATTATATCGGAAAAAGACGATACACTCATCTGCTCCCAGTCCAGGCGTTTAGAACGATGGGCGGAACATTTCAGAGAACAGTTCAGCTGGCCTTTAGCTACTCTACAACTACCCTCCATTCCTAGACAATGTGAAGGGAACATTGAAGTAGGTCCCCCAACTCTTGCTGAAGTTCAAAAGGCTATAGTTAATCTGAAACGAGGAAGGGCAGTTGGTCCAGATGGATTGGCTCCAGAGGTGTTTAAGGATGGTGGTCCAATTTTAGCAATAAGGTTGACTAATATTTTAGCTAAAATCTGGAGTTAGACGTTATTCCATCTAACGGGTCACAATCACTTATCGTCCCAATTTATAAGAAAGGGTCAAAATCATCCTGTGACAACCACAGAGGGATTAGTTTAACTAATATAGTATTTAAAATACTAGCCTCGATAATTATCAGACGCCTAACTAAGACTCGTGAACTGCAAACACGAGAGAATCAAACTGGCTTCAGACCTGGTCGTGGCTGCATCGACCACATATTCACCATTCGTCAGATTCTAGAACACAGGCATACTTATCGACGTCCGACAATGGTGGTCTTTCTCGACTTAAAAGCAGCATTTGACTCGGTAGACCGCGAGATTCTGTGGCAGTGTCTGTCATTGAAAGGCGTACCCCAGAAGTACATAAACCTTGTAAAGGCTCTTTACTCGAACACTACTAGTCGAGTCAGGGCTTATGGCGAACTGTCACCTACTTTTGCAACCTCAAGTGGTGTCCGTCAAGGCTGTCCACTCTCCATTTCTGTTTAACTTCATCATAGACCTACTGATGGAAATAACATTCTCGTCGACTGAATTCTCGGGCATTGATCTCCTACCAGGAGGTCCACTTATCGACTTAGAATACGCAGACGACATAGTCCTGTTTGGTGAAGACGCTGATAAAATGCAGAGTCTTCTGGTAGCATTAAGCAACAATGCCAGAATGTTTGGGATGCGCTTCTCTCCCTCTAAATGCAAGTTGTTGCTTCAGGACTGGGCTGCGTCAACACCTGAACTAAGGATAGGGAGTGAAGAAGTCGAACGCGTCGACAACTTCACTTATCTTGGAAGTCTGATCAGCCCTAATGGGTTGGTGTCTGACGAAATCTCAGCACGGATTCGAAAAGCTCGTTTGGCTTTTTCCAACTTACGTCACCTATGGCGAAGGCGAGATATCCATCTATCAATAAAAGGACGAGTATACTGCGCGGCAGTCCGTTCTGTTTTAATTAACGGCAGCGAAACATGGCCATTAAGAGTAGAAGACACTCGTAAGCTACTAGTATTTGACCACAGATGCCTTAGAAATATTGCTGGCGTCTGCTGGGATCACCGGGTAAGTAATAGTGAGGTTAAACGCAGAATATTAGGGAATGATGGTAAATCAGTTGATGAGTTTGTTAATCTTCATCAACTGAGATGGTTGGGTCACGTGTTACGTATGCCCGAACACCGATTACCACGACGTGCGATGCTAACCGGTGTTGGAGATGGTTGGAAGAAGGTTAGGGACGGCCAAACCTTAACGTGGCATCAGTGCTTGAAGTCACTAACTTCTAGTGTGAGCCATGTTGGTAGATGCGGACTACTTGGTTGGGGTCCGCGTGACTGTCGTAACCAATGGTTGGAGACTCTTGGTGACATGGCTCAGAATCGGTCATAATGGCGTCGGTGTATACACTCTCTGTCTTCTCTTAAACTAAGAGATTAAAATCGCTTCATATCTTTCTTTCTACGAACTTATTCTTTCTTCCTGTACTATATCCTTGTATTCAATCTTACTTTTATATATTACAACCTCTGAATTAACCACTTATATGAATCCGGTGTCCACCTTGTTGTGTTAATGAGGTATGGCAACTTGGACAGATGCATATATGTGCCTGGTCCTACGTTGTAGCTGACTGACTGAACACAAGCCAGCCCTTTGCAGCTTTCTTTTATACCAAGACACCATGTCATGCACTGACCACTTCTCCGCTTCTTCCAACCAGTCCCAGAGTCGGCAAATAATGCACCCCATGGAATTCTCTGAGACGACATTCGGAGAACATGTCCAAGCCACCGAAGTCGGTGTTTCAAGATGGTGACACCAATTGCATTATCATCTCTGTGCCCGAACACACGATGCCGAACCTCTGCATTACTAACATGGTATTGCCACTGGATGTCAGCAATCCTTCGCAGACAACGATGATAGAACACACAGAGTCGTCTAACGTCCTCAACTCGGAGAGGCCAGGTTTCACAAGCATAGAGCAAGACTGCTCTCACCGATGCGTTGTAGATCCGACCTTTTACAGCCAGACTAACATCACGAAGGCACCAAAGATGGCTCAGATTGGCATAAACCGTTCTGGCTTTCACTATACGTGAATTGATCTCATCACTCATGCCACCACCAGAACTCATGCAGCTACCTAGATACACGAAATTCTCAACTACTTCTATCTTTTCACCATCCAGAGTGAGTACAAGATTAGAATCCTGTCAGTCTTGTAGAAGTACTTTGCACTTCGGAGGTGCAAAGCACATACCATACCTACGGACATTGATTGCCAACTGATTAAGTGCGGATTGCATGCCTTGGGCATTATCGCACAGTAAGACAATATCATCCGCATACTCAAGGTCGAGAAGTCTTTCCCCGGGCAACAGATCCACACCACCATTACTTACATCCATCAGAACTGTTCCCAGAATGTCGTCGATGGCAAAGTTGAAGAGGAATGGTGAGATTGGGCAACCCTGCCTAACACCACTGCTCGAATGGAACAATGGAGAAAGGTGGTTGTATGCCCTCACTCTGTCTGAGGTGTTTGTATATAGGGCATTTAAGGTGTGAATAAACTCAGGCACACCCTTCAGTAGACAATCCCAGAGAACAGTCCTATACAACGAATCGAAGGCAGCCCTGATGTCAAGAAACACTACGATTGTTGGCCTTTGATAAGCATGACGGTGTTCTAACATTTGGCGGAGGGTGAAGATATGATCAATACATCCTCTATCAGAACGAAAACCAGCCTGCTCCTCGCGAGTCAATCTTTCTCGGGTTTTGAACAACCTACGAAGTATGACGGAAGCCAATAGCTTGGACGCAATCGGAAGTAGACTTACCCCCCGATAGTTGTTACAGGAACGACGTAAACCCTTTTTGAAGATTGGGATAACTATCGGCTCATTCCATGACGTTGGTACACTCTCTAGTTTCCAGACCTTTGTAAACAACACAGACAGTTCCTTAGCCAGAAAGTCACCATCATCTTTAAGAAGAACCGGTCATCTGGCCTCGGTGATTCGTAGCTCTTCAAGAGGTGGAGTTCCTTGCGGACTTCCTCCTCATTTGGTGGATCAGTCGTCACCGGTCATGGAGGACAGGACAGTCTGACCGATGTTGCCGGAGCGGCAGGCCAGTTGAACTGCCCTTCGAAAAATTCTGCCCATCGTCCAATAAGTCGATGGATGTTGGTGATTGGCATCCCGTCATCCTCGCAGATTGTTTCGCTCACACGAGACTTCTTGCTGCCAGCGGCTCGGATGAGTTGGAAGAGCTTCCGGTAGTTACCAGATGGAACTGCTGCTTCCAGCTCATTAACACGTTCCGACCACCAGGTTTCTCGGTCCAATATTTATGTGCTCAAATAAATAAATAAATAAATAAAGATCTTTTAATTCATATCCCTATTTATTTTGATATACTTTAATATTTCCTCACTTGAACTATTATGAATACATTTCTGTGTTATGTAGGTAGTGCAAAATAAAATGAAAAAAAAGCTAACTTCAGTTATGATTGCGAAAAAAATGAAACAAGACTGCTTTTATTTCATTTAAATGTCAAAGTGAAAGGATATTTACAAGTTCAACATATGCAAGCAGGAAAAGTTTACTTACTCTAGGACAATAACCGAAATCCCCTTGCTGCCATTTCGCCACCATAAAACAAATACCACGATTTGTCAGAATGTATCTAGAATGTATTAGTCCATAAAGCATTTCAGCTGCTTGTTCAATGAGATCGGTATTTTCTGGATTATCAGAAGGGTCTGAAAGTATTTTTTTAAAAACTCATATTAAGTGACTGACCTACCAGAACAAACGTATCTAGCACAAACCTAGCAGATAAGTTAAACCCTCGATAAGTCAGGGAAAATATTTGACTCAAATGGTTTACTCTCTACAAAATACGGAGATTGATACGCACGCGTGTAAAAGTCAGCAAGCTGTTCTTAACAGTTTATTTGATGCCAGTTATGATGCAATATATCAACACTTGTAAACTGCCCTTGCTTAACTCACCTATTTACTTAGTTGTGAGGCGAGTCTCAAAAAAAAGAACAGTGGAACATGGAACAGTGAGAAAAACATTGCTATTTCTTATGATGAACAATGGGTTCAGTATCCTAGAAGACCTAGGTTTCACACTATGCTAATTGTTAGCTTCCACTGGAACGCTAACCCATGAATGGTTTCATTTCTCTGCAAATGCTTCCCTTTAAAAGAACTTCTAGGAAAAAAACTACTAGAGAATTCGGACTAAACGATTCACAATCATTCGCTATAGCGCAGACCCACTCACTCTTTATCTCTAGATTTTGAGTTCGTGTTCTTTTATAACAATTTGCTTGTTCTTTCAAACCATTTGAATTTTCAATATTTAGTTTTTCTCATTCTCCTTATTACATTATTTCGACTTTTCTGGTTAGTTTCATCTCATAGCACTGTAGTACGACAACTTAAAGAAACGTACATCTGTATCAGGCTTTGCGTTGATGATAACTGTTTGGTTTTTGAAGCATCAGTTTTATCCAGACACTATAAACAGGAAATAACTTGAAAGAGAATCGAACAGTGACTAGCGAAACTGTAGGAGGTGTGTAACTAACACCGATATCTAAATGGTTTTCTTAATGATTATGATGAAGACAATCTTGAGGGGATAAGCTCATTGTCAATAAACTTTTACAGTAGGAGGCTAGATTGATAAGTGAAGCGCCTATTTACATCTACACACCACTCGTTAGCAAAGTGATTCCAACAAATAGGTGCGTTAACAGCGACTTTCCAACCTTTTAAGAAATTGAAAAAGCTGTGATAGAGTTGGGACAGAAATGCAGCAAGACGTGATGAACCATCCCAAAAGACGGTTATCAATAGTCAGTCAGTCAGCTACAACGTAGGACCAGGCACATATATGCATCGGTCCAAGTTGCCATACCTCATTAACACAACAAGATGGACACCGGATTCATATAAGTGGTTAATTCAGAGGTGGTAATATATAAAAGAAAGATTGAATACAAGGATATAGTACAGGAAGAAAGAATTAGTTCGTAGAAAGAAAGATATGAAGCGATTTTAATCTCTTAGTTTAAGGGGAGACAGAGAGTGTTATCAATAACTACTATTGGGAAAGAGTCACACTCCATTTTACGAAGATTAAAGATTATCCAGATCGGCTTTGGTTTTTCAAAAAGGATTCACTCTCTTTAACTTATTGCTAAACCGAAACTGTTACTCTGGTGCACCAGGTAGGCTCGCCAACTGTAGCGGTCGAATGCAACTATATCAAGCATTTCTTCAGTCCATATTACACCTGGCATTTTAGTTGAGGAATGGCGAACCAAAAGTAAGGATCCTCAAGTCCAAGACACCACATAATGTTACTTTTCCAAATTTAGATAATTGCAAACGTTAGAAATGAGGAAATAGCGAAGCAACCGTAATATTTCTATACCAGTGTAGATCAAGTTTATAATTCACACGGAAAAACAACCAGATTTAATGACATGCAACATGAAGGCACATAGTACCAAATTTTAGCATCCAAAAGATTTACGAAAAAAACAAGATGCAACAGACGGTAATCTTACGAAACAAAAAGATCTATAAACGTCTTACCAGTTTCCAAATCAAGTATCATATCGAGAGCATCACGGTATTCAGGAACTTGCTCTGATAAACCGGTAAGGTTGAATCGATCTTGGATGTAATCCTCCTCTACTTCACAAAAGAACTCATTTCCACGTAGGCCACAGAACCATGATATCCAAGAGATTTCATCACTACTACTCATGTTTTATGTAGTACAATTCTCCAAAATTTAGCTTTAGTATGGTAGTCAGTCAAACTCTTTACCCAGTTCAGACTGAATAATAAGCTGGCTAATCAACAACAATCGAAACAAAAATTTCAAATAAGAACAAATATGACATGATAGATTAACTCATTAGGCAAATAAGTGAGGTCGATTGAAACTATACAAGATAATGGGTCATCATTTGCGAAAGCAGAAATTTAAAGCCTTCCACTCTCTGAACTACGTAAACAAATAATAACGACAAGTCTTTTGAAAACACTTTTGCAGACAATGTAAGGCCAGGACGAGTAATCAATCCAGAATGACAAAACTGTAAGAGGGTTGGAATCAACCTTAAATTTGAGTAGATAGCAACGAAAAGTATAGATTCGTCCATATGCAATATAATGCAGGACTCGTATGGTATAAACGAACAACGGCGAGACTCTAATTTAGGAACGACCTTTGAACGAATCTTAAATGACCTTGACAATTATTAGCCAATCAGAAGACAGTTAGTATAAAGTGAAAATATATTATAAAGTAATGAATTACAGTGGGTGTTCTTTTTTTACATTATCTAAAAACTTGTTAAGGTTTGATAAAGGTTCAGAGGTTCTGAATTCATAATGCATATGGCATAGAAACTCGTCCATAGAGTTAGGGTTGTAGCCCCTCAATAAACACTTCTCCAAAATCCGTTGCAAACCGACCATATAGGGTTAGCACCCTAACCTAACCCTATGGACGAGTTTCTATACCATATGCATTATGAATTCAAAACCTCTGAACCTTTATCAAACCTTAACAAGTTTTTAAATCATGTAAAAGAAGAATATCCACTGTAATTTATTACTTTCTTATAATATATTTTCACTTTATACTGTCTTCTGATTGGCTGAAAATTGAAATTGCTCATACGCTTCTGATTGGCTCGTTCCTAAATTACAGTTTCGCCCGAACAACAACTAGACGAGTTAGTGATAAAAATGTCTTCATTTTCGATAGCCTTCCTCCCTACACTTGGGAAAATATTCAAAGATGAACCACGAAACAAGCTTGTAGTCTTGAACCTATGTATGCGGCATATAAATGGCTGACAATAAATCTTTTGCTGAACGAGCTGTCGTGACCAGCAAAAATGGAGCATTGATGCATTTAGATAGGAACCTAGGTGTATGAAATAAGTTGGAGTATGAAATACTTCATAAAATTAGTGAGATGTTATCAAGTCTCCAACAGAACAAAAGCTCCCCTCACAAAGAGTTCTATAGAGTTCCTTGGAGCGATCCAAATAATTAGCTTTGACTGCTCTTTATGGGTAGACAAAAATGTCTACAATTCAAACAGCTGTCGCATATCGAAATTGAGAGTACTATAACCAACGTTATGGAAAATAATAAACATGGGTACTTCAGAGAACAACTATGTTTATGATTTAAGTAGTCACTACGAGATCGCTTTTGAGTTACATATATCTCAACATGTATAAGTCCAGATTTTGTTCCTAGAAGGAAATTTTCGCAACTCGCCTCTGGATAAGTTCTAGTGGAGAACATATTCTACGCATACGCAGTAGGGTTTGATAATGTTACTAAAAATATGTTTTAACAGGCATATGGATGTTAGCATAACGAGCGTCTTAGCAAAGTGTACTTTAGAGGGTCTAATCCCTCCCAAAATATGGTGCTGGAATTTCCCACAATAAAGACAGTTCAATTAAAAGGCAAGATATTTGCCCGAGGTCAGAGTAACAGGTCGCAGTAAGACACATTTCCTTCAAAAGTCCGCCACATTTTGGTACAAAAACTTCCCCCAAATTATCTCAAAGATAGCAATATGACAGGGTGTATCTCGAAATAAAACGGTATGCGATGGCATGCGAATTAATCGTTCAATTTATATGTTATTTCAGTCAAAAATACCACAAACCAAACAAGTAACTACTCAACTAACCGAATGTGGTCAAAGTCCAACCGCGACTTCGAGGGAATCTCAAAGCACGCTCCTTTGTTCAATCACCAATTTAAATAATGCAATGAAATTTTGGACAAAATGGAAAAAGCTTTTGCTTGACGGGCTTCGGTATTTAGTGACAGTGAATTGTCGATGTCTCTGAGTAGGAATTTGATGACATCTAAAAAACGAAAATACTGGTAAATTATAGTGAGATGTCTTCAGTCCTTAAAATTACTACAAGTTTTGTCTTTAAAGACTTACGGAAGATCGCTGAGATCATTTCGCAAATAGAGAAATGTCTGTCTGCAGTCCGTTCTTCTTTGTCTTGTCCATAATTTCCCGGTGTCACTCGCAAGGTTTGTATTGGGACTGAGCTTAAGTAGGTATTTATGGGGATTCCCCAGAAGTGTCTTGAATGCCATAAGTCTATAGAAGCTAACCTCTAAGATGCCTATACTCCAGTTTGTAAAGATTTGGTTATTTAAGAAGCTCTTCATAAGGTCTGTATTTAAGTGTCCGAACTGATTTCTTTGTTCGTTTTGGGATACACTCAAGCGTATCCTTATACTTTTGTAGTGAGAGGATACACTATATTTCCATTTTCTAAATGAAGTCAGATAAAATTGTTGAGGGTCAACTAGAATGTTCTACCATCGAACGTTACATGTGCAAGGTTTGATCGAAAGGCATTGTTGTTGCACCTAGTCAAAGACTTTAGACCGTAGGTCACAAAGACACTTTGGTCTTATTAAACCTAAGAACCATGCAGTGGGGACTTCCCTAAGTTGTGTGTGTAGTTTGCACATTATCTGAGATGGACTGTTTCATCCCTTAAAGTGTTTAATGTTGACCCATTGCTATCCAGTGACCTGTGAAATCGAGTCAGACCCTTTGGAAGTGTCAGCTTATCACTTTGGTTGCGAACCCCTCTGTAAGGATTCTTATTGTCAGCGAAAAGTATTAAACCATACAACACTTGGTGTAGAAGGTTGTAAGATTTAATTTGTTCTACAGATATACTACTAGAACTGTAAACGCGATACTGGCGATCCCAGAGTCGATGTGAAAGCTATAGTCAGAGCAAGGACAACTTTGCATTAAACGTTATCTGTTTCTAAACGTAAAAACAATTAAAGTAGTACAATAACTAAAGGAATTACAGTCATTAAGTGGAACGCAGAAACATACCGACCAGTATTGCAGGTCTTATCGAAATGAATAAAAATTACGAGCCACAATATAATGTCTTTCAATTGGTAGGTCACCTGTAACGGGAATTGTTTACAGACATATCAGAACAGATTGACGTGGTGGAAGCTTAAGCGACAATTTGATTGGTTAGTTATGGACATAACTAACAAAGGTCACTTATATTAAAGATGCCATAGGTATTTGGAGTTTGATAACGACTTTACACGTAACGCCTTCATGATCGAAGGATACCAACTCAGTCAAATCGGAATTCAAGAATGAGGAGATTCGAAGATATCTTTGAAAGTTGTTGATATATTGAGAAGCGTTTGATCTGGGCTGGCTAGTAGTTGCAAAGGATGCATACCACGGCATTGCCAATCGTGATCTAGTCTGGATGCGCGACCGACTACTATCAGCTATTGTGTGTTCACAAAAGCTAATATAGTCAGCATCATGTCGAAGACCAACAAAACTGCTCATTTTGGAGATTTATTTGCTGATACAACACGAATGAAGAATACAAGACATCCTAGTACTGAATACTAAAGGACACCACCATGACATTTCATAACCTGAGAAAAAGTGAAATTTATCCTTACTCGTAAAGGTGGGTTTTTTATATATGGAGCAAGCTAGTTGTAGGACGAGTGAAACTCCACTGAGCCCTAGCCAAATCATCCGGCAGTTGGGTCATTATATATAGAAAAATTCATTGACCCTCGTCAAGATCAAGGACAACCAATGCGTACCAGTTAATCGTGCGCCATAGACTGGCCCATGCGGCAATGCTCTTACATTCGCTTGTATCTACTTTAACTAATATATTTCTGTGATAACGTCCTTTGTGCTGTACAGTCTTCAAAGCATCTATAGTACCTTGATACGTCGATGGGGTAAACCACGTAAGGTGCTGATTGCGAGATGTAACTTCGACATTAGCTAGTTTGTCACACCATTCGCGCCTAGCTCGAATAGACCTCCAATAATTTCGACATAGATCATCTACGTTGGTGATCTGCATAGTCAATTAACGGCCAGTTGTTATCTAACTTTTTGAACTTATTGATGAGACATATGTGATTGATCACACCAAATGGCTTTGAGAAGTCAACGTACATTTCATCAATCTTCCTCCTCTGGTAGAAAATATTTGTTGATTTGTCCATCACAGTAAGCAGGTTGGTCATACAAAAGTGATATAACAGAGTGACCCTTCTTGCAATCATGCTGCTGAGGTGAAAAGATGTTTGAGGATTGCAATTTGTTACTTAGACCATAGTATGTCTGGAACCTCAATAGTACCGAGAGAAGTGCTATCAGCCGGTTGTTTGAAGTTTTGCTGAATCGGCCCCTAATAAAAATCAGAGTGATGTGAGGCACTCTAATTTTCTGGTGCTGTGACTCGTCTTACGAATGCAAGAATATCCCAGTAATCGGTTTTGCCAAGATTGAAGGTGCTCCCTCCAATACAACAGAAAGAACCATATCCAGTTTATAAGAAGTGTCTTCGTTTTGATGCTGCTGCTTACAATGCACAGGTTCATCTCCGAGGGCCACAAGCGAAGCTTTTGACGATGTAGTTTTCATGGGACGGTTGACATTTTCATAGATAATGTTTTGATAGAAAATAGGTGGTGTCACCATCGCTGTTGATTAGGCCATTCGGGCCTACCAACTGGGAAGCTCCGTTTTTGATTTGCCGAAGAGAGACTGCGTTACGTAATAACCTATTTGGTTTAGAGACAAATCCGTCGATTAGCCTTATCTGATACTGAGGCCAATCTTCTCTTTTTTTCCATCATTTATCGGTTCCTAACTTGTTTGAACTGCCTTTATGTGCTATCGCCACTAGTTTGCTTGTATTCCGCCCACGGATGTATTTTGCGTCTTAGTAACTGAAGAGTGCGATTATTGACGATCGTGAGTACCTTGTAATTTTTGAGGACCGTTTGAAATACAGACTATTTTATAGCATATAGGATCGTATGCGATAAGAAATTTTGGTGAGCGTCATATATTGTGTTGAAAGTTGGCTTCCGAGTCCACCTGTCGTAGTGTCGACTGTCGCAAAACTGACATACCCAATTGTTTGTATTTCTAACACCTGTTGTTAGTATGATGTTTTGTTTCAGTTTATCTAACAAACTTGGAGACTATGACGGGATGATCTTTTTACTCAGAGAAGAAAGGATTGAGTACTTGTTAATTAGTAATTCTTCGTTTATAGAGATGCTGTCTAAGTGTTCAGATGTGTGTCTATTTCTCCAAAGAGTTGCTAACTTCTTATATTCGAATAAACCCAGATCTTCAATGAAGTTGAAGACCTGAGCTTTAGCAGAGTCGTCACCTCTAATGTACGCATGTTCATCAAAGCTGACTTTATGAAGGTTATAGTAATTTGGAACCAGAATATGAGTGTAACCAAGAATATTAGATCTAGATAATCCCTCCAGTAAACGGTCGCCGCACTCAAAGTCGTGAGAGCGCTTCCTGTAGATAGCCCTGACTAGACATCTCTAGGTGTTCAGCAATCTCACTAAACAGCAAAGAGATTCATAAAATTTAACAAACCCTTAGGTGTACACCTAATGTACTACCAAGCAAGATGATAGGTACAGGGCTGCTCTCTCCATTTCTGCTCTCCTATCATCGAGAAATAAATATATACTGGTTATTACCAGTTCTTAATCTGCAATTCGAGATGCCTATGTTTTAGTTATTTCTGTTAGATGAGTATTTTCAACGTTACCTAGTAAACACAACTAATCCATTTTGTTCGGCAGACTCGCGGCCTTTGTATATGGGTAGTCTATACTTTTGATTTGAAATTCTTGAGCTTCCTTATCCTGTTTTCCTGAATAAACCTTATGTAAATGGACAGGCAAAATACACAGAATTTTCCGAGTTGGTTGTCCCTGGCTTTTCCATATGTTTACTTTGTTCTTGGCAGTTTACAAGTGGAATGGTCAGTTCTAATTCGATTTTGTGCCTAATCCTTGCATCATGTGATCTGTACGGTTGATCTGAATTTCAGTTTTGACCAGTGTCTGTTAATGTGAAATGCTTCGAGATGGACAGACGATAGGAAAGTTATATTTATTAGCTGGAATCTAGAGTTCCCGTCCTTTTCGTGAAAGATCACAAAACCATAAGTACAGCGAGCATGTGTAGATGAAAATGAAAATATCAGTGAATGAGACTGAATGGATTAATAGGATTTGAGAAGCACATATACACTGGAAAGCAATGCAGTCGCCGAGTGTTTTAAACAGATAATACGTAGGTAGACTGTAACGTGTGACCAAACATACATCCACATACAAAAACTATACTAATAATACGAAGATCTGAACAAATTGTTGCTGATCGTGTGACTGTTTGTTAAATGAATTAAATGAAGGGCATGACAAAATCAACGTTTACAGACTTCTGTTTAAGTGAAATGTTGAGGACTAATCATGTCTAGTAATGTGAAAAATATCTTTCAACGCATTGTTCAGCCTGACGCATGTCTCACATCTAATTTCACTCTTGTTATTATCACATACTATTACCATTCTTATTTTTATTATCATAATGCTATTGTACTCATTTTCGTACTGATGCTGATTTGTCTTTACGATTAAATTACCCATGCTCTTATGATTACTGATCTGTTCACATCTCCTGACCTTCGTTTTCCCCCCATGCCTATGAAATTCAAGTTTGCAATCTCAATACAGCAACGAGCCAGTCATCGGTCAGACAGCGTAACAACTGTTGGTTCCAGTATTCGTAGTCCGGTGTGATAAATGGATTAAAACGATCTCAACATACGTCAATTTCCCTGTGTCTGATGCATTCAAATGGCTCGTCTAACTTTATTTGATGCCACCTAAAGCCCGAAACTGTATTGTGGTGGAAGCTGCCTATATCGAGAGAAATAAGTAGTATGTGACAACAGTCGAAAGTGGAAAACCTGGCAGCACTAGGCTAAGAAGATCAAGTTGGAGAGAAGAGAGGAGAAAATAGAAGGGAATTGTGGACTTGAAGAATCACACAGAACATGAAGGGCAAATGACAGAAATTTGCAAACGAAGTATTTAATGTATAGTTCTTATATTTTAAGAAGATAATGTGTAATTTTGTAGTGAAATAAATTGGTTGTCTCCACCTAAGTGTCTGTACCGGTTGGAATACATTACCGTTCGAGTACCATGAGATTTCCTACACTTCTTACTGTACCTCTGTTGTATATCTTTTTGCACCACCAACAATGTTTCTTACTTTAAAATAAAGAAATACTTGACTGTTATCCTCTTTTGATTTGTTGAACTCAATTTGAACTTCAGTTAGAATGAACCTATTTCATATTAGAACACGCGTGAGTTTACGCAAAACTATGTACGAACATTTAGTAGTTAGAATCGCTAAACCTGAAGCTCCTTGTATAGTGGACAGTAACAGCACCTCTGTCAAAGTCTAATTAAAGTGTATTTATAGCATCCATAGCCTGCATGGACAACTTTAACTTGATTCATTTAAGTGGTTTTCCACTTATTGCCATAAATTCAGTGACCCCTCATACGACGATCAACATCTTTTCGTGTTGGGATAATCAAGGTTTGAACAACCTGTGTGATCCAAACTTGTAAACTTCGTCCAGGCTTAAAGTCTATGTGTAAAAAACGACATGGGTATTTAAAAAAAGTATAGAGTTAAATGAACCTCAAATTTTTCAAAACCCTTAGATCTACAGTTCACAAAGTTGCCTTAACATTAGTCTTTCTCTACTTTATTTTTCGTAGATAAATCAGTAATATACAGATTTTTCGCACAGAACAATCTGCTGTCGGAAGTCGTTAAAAAAGACAATGAGTGCTACACCTTTAACTAACTCATTCAAGATAAAGATAGACACTATCTGAAGTCTTTTGGAAACAACTAACACATTCCGCCAGTTTAATATCACCAACGCACAAATGAAAATCAAGTCTGAGTTTTATTGGCTGTTGAATAACCTTGTATCTTAAGTAGCTCTTTCAATCCGTAGGTCACTCTCATGTCGCAGGTTTACTGTACATAGTTGACATCCAAGTGGACTTCACAGTTGATTATCATTGCGTAAGTGATTGATTGTTCAGCATACGACTTGCTTGATAACATCATATTTTAGTAAACTGATGTAACTGTTATCCGGACATCTTAGTGTTACTAATAAATTATCTTAGTTCCCAATTTCCCTATTTTGGGGGAAATGTTGTGAGGTTTTGGTGAATTTTGAGCCAACCACTTTAAAAAGCTCCGAGGGAAAACGCAAAGCCCCCTAAATTCCCTCAGGCCTGGGAAAAATTCCCGAAGTTTGGGGGGGAATTTTCTGGTTTCTCCTCAAAATTTCCACATAATCTTATAAAACCTTGGGGTTTCTCCCAAACTTTAGAGAAAACCTACATATTTTTCACGACTTTTGGGAACACCTCAAGATAGTGAGATAAGGTCAATAAATTTCGTGGTTTAGTCTGATCGATACTTAACTTCTGTTAACTTTATTAGTTTTGAATACTTTGGTGACATTAAAATTAACTCTTTACTTTATGTATAGGTTGGAGTTTGTCTAGTCATGCACCAATATCCATTTTTTCAAAGTATGATTGAAGCAGTTGCGTACAAACGAACAAGATAATCTCAACTCTGACCATAAGATCGCAAAAAAAAGTTGACCTTCATTTAGAGCAGTTGACTAATAAAGCTCTTAAAATATATCAGTTCAGGCTCAGGTTCCAGTCGCGATCTATCACAAAAGACGTACATTTTCGGTATACTATCTACCATTAAGCCAACTTTAACGCTTTTAAACTAAAAATACGACAGTTTCATCTACTAATTAACAACCAAGTAGCTCCGCATTAACTATCAACTTTGGATTGAATAGAACAAGCAAAGTTATCAGTTTAGGACATGTCTTCGTGTTATGCAAGATGTAGGGAACCGGGATTCTTCGATCGATTATGACCGTACCAGTCGGTGGGCTGAGACCCTATTAAAAATGAATAGAAGCCATTACATTATTAATAAAAGTGAAGTAACCTTCCTTGGGTTGAGTAATCCTTTCTTGTCTGTACTTTTAACAACTGTATTTCCTATAATTCTATTCATTCATTCATTCTTTGTGCAGCCTTTCCGTTAACCATCTCTTAAGAATACTACTACTTTGTTTGCTTGGTTTAATTTTTACCGACTTATTCTACAATTTACTGGCTTATTTATAGATAAAAATAATTCCTTAGAAACACTTCTCACGCTTATACACAAATTATTTTTCAAAATTTATCACAGTCAACGCATACAATTTTATGGGATTTCGACTTAACATAAACTAAGATATTTCGGGAATATTGAATCTTTATGAAGTTTTCCTATCTAGTGTCTACGTACGATTCTTTTTTTGCTCATCATAGCGCTAGTATGCTCTGATTGATATTTTGCTCTCTATATTTTCAAATTAGCGGAATATTTGTCATTAAATATAAAGGATAACTGATATTTTTTCACCAACTGTGTTTAATTGGTGATTGCTTATTATTAATAGTGACCTGAAGGTAACGGGAATCTTTGTATCTTATAGGTTTCCATACTGGGTTATTTTATATTCATTTTAATATTTGCTACTTTGTCTTAATTAATTTTTCTATTGCTTCATTACTTTTTAGCAGAACACTTCTACAAAACGTACTGGACGTCTTTGTGTTAGCTCAGTTGCCAAAAAAATGCCCATCGAGTTCAGTGTTTTAGAACATGCAGGATAATCAAAATCTTCGTATTCCTTATTATCGTCTACATCCTGGACGTAACAGATTTTGTTGTCATGGCAGAGGGGTCTTTTCCCGGGATATGTGTATATTCACTATTACCCTCCTTTTAATTATCTCAGTTACAGTTCTCTTTTTTGCTTTTGACTGCCGTTTTTTAACCCCCATCTTAACTCCTGCTGTTCCTATTTTAGCAGCGATGCAGTTCCTATATGTTGTTACTGCATTTCTTCGTACAGCATTCACAGATCCAGGAATTATACCACGGGCCACACGTCCTGAAGTAGAATGGACTGAACTGTCAATTAGTAAGCTTACTAGTCTAATCTATGTTCCTTTAATAGTCTATATATATAAACTTATTAATCTTAACTCCAACTTAGTTTCACTCTTTCTTAATTTTGTCTCAAGTATCGTTTCTGTAAAATATTTAACACTATTAAGGTCTTAATTTTTGAAAAAAAAATAGTTTGACTTGAGAAGGCGCAAATATTTCATCAATCACATTCAAGTGAAGTTATAGTTTGCTTTCTTACGGCATCTGCCAAAATGCATATAATAATGCACTTCTCATTCCTTTTGTGTGTTTTTTTTAAAATTTCTATATACTATATCGCTGGAGATAAAAGTTTCTGAAACTCTAACTGATTACATTTGATCAGTAATCTGCCTTAACTTAGAGCGTCCATTTTCGCATTTTTGATTTAGTGTGTACACGTTCCCTGTTGTGCGTTATTTACTAGAGTTAACCTTATTCTTCTTCAATCATACTAAGACTTATCAACAAATGAACACTGTGTTATGTTTTTCACTCCGAGTTTGTTAATAATATACAAGCTTCATGTACGGATGCCCAATCTGCCACTTGATTGAGATCAACAAATAGTAGGAAATTTTTATTAGTTAACCGAGTTAAAAATATGCGCACAACGTATTCGTAACCACATCTGTCTCTCTCAAAAAATGAAGCCGGGTTTTTAACTACTAACGTATTTCTGTTTCTTCAGAAAACTAGGGTAAATCTCGACCATTGGTGTGTTTCCGTTAGCATCCTCCACTTATCTTTTGGTCTACGTTTTCTTTGCTTAGCGTATCACCATGTCATTTTACTACCCCACTAATATTCACATTTGATTTGCTTACACTCCCAAGTTAGATGAACTTATTTGCGATTTCTTTATGACATGAAAATTTCTAAAACATAATGATGGGTTCCTATATTCTAGCATCGTCAAATAATAATTTTATGTCGTGAACATATGACATTAATCAGTCTAAAATAAAAGTGATCTGGTTATTGAGATAGCGAGGTTGTTTGAAAAAGTTATCCCTCGCGGCATGAGTCAAATAGTCGTGAGATATTTCATCTACATATTTATGCGATCTATAAAACTCTTTGTCGCCGATCCCTAACTACTAATATCGGTCGTCATTATAAACCTTGTGTTGAATAAAAATGTGAATGATGTAATTTCTTTTTTTAACTAGGTACTGGAGATGTATCTGTAAATGACTCGAATAACAAAAGTGAGCATGATGTAAATGCCGTTCGAACTTATCCACCCGGTGCCAGAACACGTCAAATTCTAATTGGAGATCATCTAGTCAAAATTAATTATTGTCATAGTTGTCGAATTTTCCGTCCACCAAGAGCGTCACATTGCTCTTCGTGTGATAATTGTGTTGGTAAGTCGCTTTGAAAAACGTTTAATATCATGTTTCTCGTTTTTGTATTCTTGGGCAAGATAATTTACGGATTAGAAATTCTGTTTGAAGTACTGCACGCTGTTTTAATATTGAGGGTAATCGTAATTTATTGATTTAGGCAGTTTATTCGTCAACTACTAGAAAATAATCCACAATCCTATCTTCAGATTTAACATGATAGGTATAATTCTCAGTCTTGTACCACGTCTACGCCTGATTTCCTTCCTACTAATTTTGCTTAGTTATCATAGATTACTCACTTTATGTTACTAATTTACACAAATGCAGTTTTCTACATCGTTACAATCCAGAGTATGATTATTACAACGTTATTCCATCAGAGAAATTGAACTTCCACACCAAGAAATATGTTTAAAGATTTTTATTTTTATTCTGATTTACGGATTTTTAGATTTATCTCGTTCACAGATTGTTTTAGCCGTAAGTTGTCATTATTAATCTGTAATGTGTGTACCACTGAAGAAACTCATCAATACCATGTGTGTCATCCAAAGAATTTTTCGATCCATAATGTATGGTTTGCAAATGATCGATCAAAGCCAAATTTGTAATCTGAAGGTTACTTTCCAACCAATCTAAAGTTTTTTAGTTTGTCTCAAAGAAAATGATGACCTTTGTAATTCTGCCTAGTTCACTAAATTGTAAATCATTCTGCTAGAACTTTTAGCTCACCTTTTAAATATATTATGACTATGTAAACTATAAAACTACATGGATCGATCAATCCGACTGTAACCAAACAGTGTTATTTAATGCTGACATCCGTTGTTACTATTCTACCATGAAGATATTTAGATGGAGTTATTTTTAAAAAATGTAGTGATCTTTATCTAGTAAGAACATTTTAGTTCTTATTGTAGCTAAAGGATGAATGCTGTTCTAAAATTGACATTTAACCAGCTGTGTTAATTTACATCACGTGTAAGGTGACAATGATTGCTACAAATTATTAAAAGCGGAGTGCTTTAGACATATAGTTTATTTTATTCCTGCACACATGGAGTTGAACTCTTGATTTTCAGAGAGTTTAACAAACACATTGATTCAATATATTTTTTTGACGTGGTGGTCAACTCTATAAAAGTACCAAATAGAATGATGTTAAAAACAAATATATTTGCGTTTTGTTAGTAATCATACTAGTGATTTTCATTCATTTCACATAGTATATCTATCCACCAGTTTCTTTCACAGTACCCCTCCTTAGTTTAAATAATAGTGATATAATAGTATATCATAGGGTGATGCATATAAGACATATGCCCCCATACTCTTCATTCGTCGTCAATTTTGTGTACTGTGTTTTAAGCCATAGCCCCTGAATGTCCTGGTACGGCTGGGGGTGGGGAGTGTCAGTGCTCATGGGCTTCGGGGTCCTGCAGGAACAAATGGCGTATGAACCAATTATTGGTCATTGGCTACCATGGCACTGCATCTCCTGACGTTGCTCCATTGCCTTTTGAATCAGACCTCTAGGTAGAATGCTCTGGCTGTGGCCCCCTAAGAAAACCACCTGCTTCAGTCTGGGCACCCGGGCACTATCACAGCTTACATACAAATCAAGTGACTTGTGTGACGCATATGTATTTGGTGCCCCTTTTTACCAATGTTTATGTGTTCAAATAAATAGCTTAATTAATTAATAAGGCATATCTTGTGTAGTGCAAAATTTTATACAACTACCCCACTTATCTTGGAATCTGGATCCAAAATCTGCCGAGTTACATATGTGCTTCCGATATTAGATTGATTGAGTTGAGCGTGAGACTTTCAAAAAGCGACAATCAGTATAAGATCTATCATAAAAGTCCATCTTAAGTTTCCACACCAACTCCGCATGATGAAGTAACTACTGTCATGTGTTTTTAGTTCCCCCCATATTGTCTGTCGGGAAGTACAAGTCGCATTTCGATTGGCGAATAAATCACGTAATAATTAGCCGGGCTTAAAGTCACTTAGGCCTATAAAGATTGGTTGATAGTCTGTTTGAATAGATGTTGGACTTTCATACCAAAAATCTTTATAGTAATAAAAATTTTTATAATTGCACATTTTTGCATTTCTTGTTTAAATCCTTGTAGAACGTTTTGATCATCATTGTCCATGGATTGGAAATTGCGTTGGCCAAAGAAACTATCGTTATTTTATATTGTTCATATATTCCCTGAGTATCTATTGTCTTTATATTTTAGTATTTTCAATAGTCAATTTAATTTTATGTAAGTAATTTACATATATACACAATTTTGAATTTCATTATGATCACAAATGATTTGCTGGAGTAAACTAATTCCTAGATAGTCTTTTTGCCCTAGTGTGGGACTGCTTAGCAGTCGATGTTTTTGATCTCACGTAGGATTGAACCCATGACCTTTAGGTCTCCCAACAACTTCTTAGCCTTTATATCATTGGACCGGCATTCAATAGTTTACATACTGAACTTCACCTGATTCGCTATATTGCCCAATCATCTCTCAATATCATTGGTAGGAAGTGCCTCACACTTGACATAGCTGAACTCCACTAGTCATGGCTTCTCATTATGGTTTCTAAAGTTACCTCCTGAAATTGGCCACTAGTGAGCACATGATCATTATCAGTATAAGAGTTTTGTAGAGATTTTTCAATTTTTTGGTTCGCATGATAGACCGACTTCAATAAGGGAGTCATTAAAAACCAAGAAGCATTGGATCTTTGTATACCGTCTCAGTAGTTTAAAGGTTAAGCACTCATTGCCAGACTTAAGGATCCTGGGTTTGATCCATAGTGGGGTTATGGATGCTCATTGCTGAGGGTCCCGTACTTTATTACTTATCAGCTGTCCGGTTCTTCCTGGTTTTCAACAGCTGTTGTAAACTAAAATTCAACGATATTCTCAAACCTTCTGTACTAATAATATTCTCTAGATTATGACACTTATACTCTATTTTGTCATTAATTAGATTTTAATAGCATTTTGTCTCCTTATTGGAGTTGTTGCTTTATCATTGAAGTACTCTGACGTATGAACAGTTGGTCGTAAACTGAAACTTCCCTACATCTATATCAGTTTAGCCGGCTAATTATTATTTCTCGTTAGTCTTTTAAATAATGTAGATTTAGGTCATATACATAAGCTTATGTGTACCCTTAGTAAAGGGGTTTAACTATCGTATTACATAATACATTAGGTACTGTCCATTATTGTTGATATATTGGTTTTGTTTCTTTGATGAGGAGTTTTACCGTCTTCTTAAATTTAGCCACTGTCTTTCTCTTGTTCCGTTCAA